CATATGATTGTGGGAAAATTCTACTACCAGTCCTTCATCACCTTACACGAAATAGGGTGAATACATCTAATTATATTAATCCTTAAATCGCCTTAAACGACCTGGGTTGATTAAGTTATTCTTCGTGTACTACTGATAATCTCGAATACTACTTATAATCGTGATGAAAACTCTTTTAAGCACAAGCCTTCTTCTCTCCCTGTTCCCTTTTCCAAACCGCAAGCAGCAGCTTTTTTTTACTTTTTCTGCAAATTCGCCTGGCCCAGGCTTTTCGAAGAGTACGGCATGAATCCACACTGCCCCAATGCCTGCGCCAAGAAGGACAATCCTTGTCGACAGATGGATGGCGTTGTGAAGCTTGGGGATCCAGAAGACACGATGCATGAAGCCGAAATCTTCACAAGTTGTCGTCCTATCAACTACGCAATCGACAAAGACGACTATCAATGCATTTGCAAAGAGGTGACAACTGTGTTTGTGTGTAAATGTCTCAGTATTCACATTTTTCCGAGATTCGGTTTTGCCTGCCATGCAGAAATGCCAATGGCGACTAGACTAAATGGTGGGCACTTGCGGGATGTGAAAATGGCACACTTCAAGTGGAAAAGTGTGAGTGATGAAAATGAATCACTCCGAGTCCCTCAAATGGGAATTATATTTTCCCGTTGAATAGATAGGTCGACGATTGGGGCAAAAGTTTATATGAAGGGTTGGGTAAACCTTTTTTTCTATAAAAGGTTGGATGGGAATGTAGCGCAAATTGGCCTCAGCGTCTGGAACACTACTCATACAGAAAATAAGTACTATCTCAGCGTTTAATGGCAAAAACCTGTTTACTTAATCGACAATCATGTTTTAAATGTGACGCCTGACTTGCCTTGAACATCACGGCTACCATGGCCTCTGTGGCCGTGTACTAGGGGGAAATAATAATGTCGCCAAGATATTCATGAGATGGAATGCCGCTCCAACGCATCTGTACTGAGCTTTTGCTTGTCCTACCGTGAAAGGATTGGTCAAGTTGGACGGCCATCAGTTAAAACGAAGTAGGCTGGTTGAGGTGATGCAGGGAAGAATAGTCGAATCTTGCCCAACTTTGTTTTCCAGAAGACTTTTTCACTTCATTTGGATTGCAGTTTCCGCCTCGCCTCGCCTCGCCTTACCTCACCTCACTCCACCTCATCGGCAGCCCCAATGGGATGCGAAAGCTGATCGTGTGCATCAACCGGCAACGCTACCACTTGAGTGGGTTACAGTTGCCGAGTTGATGTTAGTTGCCGAGTTGATGGGTGACTTGAGTTCTAAGTTAGGATCTACCGACAGCCTCGAGACCTGCTCAATCGGTATATGAGCTCTATCTAGCACAAATCAAACAGTATTGGCTTAGGTTTCAATGAATTTCATCTCGATCTGACGATATTTCTCACAGCAAGACGGACACAAGCCATGCATGAATGGATTTGTGTCGAAGAACGATGCGCCGTTGACTTATTTGCACACATCAGCAATCACTATTTTACTATTTTGCGAATTCTTTGAGCCCAACTTTTAATACCAAATGAAAATAGCTGGTGGTATCCCTAATGCTTATTTTGAGTAAAGTTTTTCATCTCCTGATCCCATTTTCCTTCAGGGTTGGATTTGGTCCGAGGTAGTCAGACAGTGTATACTCGTTGATGTCTGCCTCGAGGACAGAATCAAATATATGAAAGACCCGCGGCGACATGTACCTCTTTGTGATCCCAAAGGCACTTTAAGTTGTGTTTTTGTGCCTGTCGAACTGGAAAAGGAAAATCCGACCTCGAGACCGATTATAAAATCTAAGGAAAAAGATGACGAAGACTCATCGTTGCTATTTAAGGATGAAAACGAGAATGCAGATGAACTCGACAATTATGACTGCATCTGTCAGCCTGGATACATGGGAAGGCGGTGTGAAGAGAAGCTGAATCCGTGTTTGAATGTAAGTAACGTCGGCAAATCAGGTATAATTTGCCTTAATTATTTATATGAGCTGTATTCACCCTATTTGGTTTAAGGTGATAAAGGACTGGCAGAAGAAGAATTTTCCCACAATGATATGAGTTGAGCTGACGCTTCCATTCAATTTCACATAACCTTTCTTTCATAAAAGTTGTTCTCATCCTTAAACGAAATTGGGTGAATACATTTCGCATTGAGAATTTACTTTATTTTTCGCATTAATTATTGTTCTCATGACTACCAGTAAATCAGTAATATCAGATGTATTTACCAAATTTCGTTTTAGGTGATCAAGGACTGGTAGAAGAAGAATTTTCCCACAATGATATGAGTTGAGCTGACGTTTCCATTGAATTTCACATAGCCTTGCTTTCGAAGAATTTTCCCACAATGATATGAGTTGAGCTGACGTTTCCATTGAATTTCACATAGCCTTGCTTTCCATCGAATTTTCCCACAATGATATGAGTTGAGCTGACGTTTCCATTGAATTTCACATAGCCTTGCTTTCCCAAAGTATAATTTTCCCACAATGATATGAGTTGAGCTGACGTTTCCATTGAATTTCACATAGCCTTGCTTTCCCAAAAATTGTTTCCCATCCCGACTGAAGTGGACTACATTTTCGACCTTGTTATCAACACCCTCAGTGGGAGTCGAACCGCGACAGTGCAGGAGATTGACACCCTACCTACTTGGCTACACTACCACTAACGCCGTTTAGATCACAGGGCAAATGTGAATTTTCAAGGAAGGCCAAGCCTTTTTGCCATATCATATCCTTTTTGGTGGAATTGTCGATGAAGCAAACGTATATCTACTATAACAATCGACTACTATACTTTATTTTTAAAATTAAGTCTTGTTTTCGGGACTACCAGTAAATCAGTAATATGAGATGTTAACATAAAGTCTAGAATCTCGTTGACCGATGCGAGGTCGAAGCTGCAGTCCACTTCAGTCGGGATAAAAACACCACTTGGGAAGCTAGGTTATGTGAAATTCAATAAAAGCGTCTGCTTAACTCATATC